ACCAGGTTATACTCGAGCCTGATAATGAATATTATTCAAAGAACAAAAAAAACATTTCCCATATGAGCTTGTATACTTGGTCGATGTAATGTTGGTTGACGATTAACAAGAACATAATCACCGGTTCGAAGATGTCGATAACACTTTTTTTCTAAACATTAAACTTGTATTACTATGTTGTTTTTCTCTTGTTAATTAAAGTTTAGCAACAGCTGTTCGTTTAGATAAATTATTTGGTAATAAACGACGAATTGTTCCATCATTCAAGTTCAACAAAATTTCCTCTAAAATAATCTTTTTTTATTGTATATCATCAAAGAATTTGTTGTTTTATACCCAGGATGAACATCTGGTCCATTAAGAATTAATTGACGTAATTCATGAACATTATCTGGTGTAACTAATTCTGGATAAGTTAATTTTTTTGGAAATATTTCAGGTATTCCAACTTGATAAATTCCAATAAATGGATCAGGTTATATTACTGATCGACCAGCATAATTTACACGTTTACCCATAATATACATACGAAATAAACCTTCTTTTTTTTCAATAACCTTTTATTATTTTTTCAAAAAATAAAATTAATCATTTTACAATAAAAACAATAACATACTTGTCGAATACCTTTGCCTACTCGAGCACCACTTCGATTATCTAATCAACTATCAAATATAGAATTAAGAGTAATTTGCATTTTAACCCAAAGATTATTAAGTTTTTCTTCATTTGTTATACGACGTAAAGTATTAGTTAAAGAAGATCGATTTTGAATATAAAGAAAAAAAAATACAGAATTATAATATGAAACACGATGAAACTGTTGATATTGTAAAAGAAGCGATTAATCAATATATATGTTTCAGTTTAGGAAATTTCACCTAGTGCTAATGCATCTCAGTGATGGAACGATATTGACTTGGATCTGACGATTATATTGGAAAAGAGAGAGAGGTCCAAACTTCTACTTCTATGCTTCAACATTTCTTTTAGATCGCGTTTGAAAAATAATAAAAATATGTTAGAGTAGTTGATGTTGATATGTCTGTAGTTTGTTTATCTTTTAATAATAAAAGTTCTTTCATATATTGATTATCTTGAATAATTGTTGAATATCGAACTCTTTTTGGATTTTCAAATTTTTGTGAATTAAATGATAAAACCTTAGAAAAGATAAATTTGAAATTTTTTCTTTTCTTTTTAATATAATTAAATACATACAGAACGAAATTTTCAAGTTAAAACAGGTAAAACTTGAAAAAAGAATAAACTTATTGAATTATTATGAACATGTCTTATTGAATGATGTGATGATCGTAAAGTAGCTAAATAAATTGCAACTACTTCTTTTTCATTTGTCCAAATGTTTTTCTAAATGTTTTAATAGATCTAATCGTGTTAAATACATTTGACTGGACATCATTTTTGTTAACATTTCTTCTTCATCATTATCTATTGATTCATCATTATCATTCACTTTTTTTGATTGTCTATAATCAAAAGAAAAAAAAAAGATTTGACAATGTATTTACGTCTCAGTGAAGG